TAAAGTAAATTAAAATCTGTACTTAATGCTTTTCGATTCGGTGATCGGCATAACCTGGCACAGATTTCAGAAGTGCAAAAATTTTATGCTATGAAAACCGATTATTAAGTTTGTAAGGATAATTATTTAAGAACAATAATTATTCTACAATTTCATATCGATTAAAGATCATTAAAAAGCCTACATTTTAAAACCTTAAACTCGAATTATAATTATTGCGGGACCGATCAACGCCCTAGGTTTAGTGTAATGCGTTATATAATGATAGTAAACTCACAAGATGTTTGTTTTTTGTAGATACTGCTAACATATACAATTTTGGTGAGGTAATAATGACGAGCATTGATTTTAATATTATATTCTCAAGATATTTGATATATACTAATTTTTTAAATAACGAAAAGAGCGAACAATTTCTTAAAGAATATATCGCCGATAAACGTTCTCATGTTGTGCTTGCCACAAAATATACTAGTAAGTTAATCTGGTTATTCGTTTCACTGTAAAAATTCTTATTTACTATATGTTGTATATTTTACCTTCATTCATAAATTTATAAAGTGAATTCCACCGCTATGCTGCCAAATGTCAGGCTTAATCCGAATGGAGGTAATTTTATTCCTTATTTCATGATATTGATGTGCTGATGTGATGAGTTCTGAAAAAAAATTTCCTAAAGGTGGAAACCACCGCAAATCTCTTGCTGAAAATCTCAATGAAAGTCTTAAACGACTGGGCACTGGATATATTGATCTTATGTATATTCATACTTGGGAATATCGTACTCCTATTGAAGAGGTAATGCGTTCTTTAGATGATGCTGTTAGAAGCGGCAAGGTAGGCTTTGATATCTAATGTTATGTATGATAGTTTGCATAATTAAATATATAATTAATCATTAGAATTTAATAAAAATTCCTGTAGGTACACTATATAGGAATTAGTAATACACCAGCATGGGTAATTAGTCGTGCAAATACGATGGCTGAGTTACGTGGTTGGAGGTAATACCATGCATATAATATATGTAGCTTACACGTTTTAGTGATAAAAGTAACAAACTTTATTAATTTATTAAGTCAATTTATTGGATTGCAAACACGATATAATTTATTAAATCGATATTTGGAATTTGATTTACAATCTGCTTGTGCTGAACTTGATGTGCGTAACAATGTTTTAATATTTGTTATTATTTACTCTTAAAAATATGATCATTGAATTTGAACATGCTTTCAAAATTTATTGATGACACGTTACTAACATGCTAAATTTTATTATGAAGATTGGTATTATTCCTTGGGGAAGTATTGCTGAAGGGTAATCATTTTAAATTGTTACATTGTGCTGTTGAGTAATTATGCATGAGTGATTTATACTGATTTATGTTCACATTTTTATTATTTTTACCAAGATTCTTGACTGGAAAATACACCAGGGAATCAGTTGCCAATCTAGAAAATAGTAGTGATATGGACAAATTGCGACGTAAACAAATTATTGGCATTTCAAAAAATGAACAAAATTGGAATATCCTTGATGAAGTTATAGCTATTGCTGCTGAAACCAAGAGAAGTCCTGTTCAGGTAACTTTATGACTTAAATTGTTTATAATAACATATATTTTTATAATTCGTTTATTTCATTCTTTATTTAAATTATAAGGTCGCTTTGAACTGGATCTCACAAAAACCTGGCATTACTTCTCCTCTTATTGGTGCTAGAACAAAAACCCAATTAATTGAAAATCTTAAAGCTCTTGAATTCAAGTAAATTTTTTTTAAATTCTCATTACTATTATATTAAACCATTAGTTACCATTTATATTAATTTAATAAATAGATTAACTTCTGAACAAATGGCAAGGTTAGATGCTGTTTCAGCACCAAAAGAAGTACCATTTCCGTATTCTATATCTAATAATCTTCTTAAGCTTGTTGGTAACGGAACTCAAATGCCTGACAAGTATAAACCCGTGTTAAAAACGGGAGGGTGGACAGACTCAGCCCAATAAAGTACGAAATGAGTTGATCACATAAAATAAAACAACTTATTACAATTAGGGTAGTTATACTAATGAATGTAATAATTAGCCAATTAATTGTTATATTAATACAATAATATTTTTAAAAATCATTATTTTACTAGATCGAAGATATTCCATAATTTAACAACCAAAATTCAATAATAATTTTTATATTCTTTGATTTGTTTTATTGAGACAGATCTATGATATAAAAATTTTATCTCAAACTTCACCTACTGAAAAATGTGAATTAATTATCGTATAATTTTTTTATTTTTTATATCTTAGTAAAATTTGTTTTTTGTACTGTTTATTGTACTGTTTAATTTATTCAATAAACATACCTTTTTAAATTGTTTTTTATTCTGTATTTTACAATTGCAATAATTAAAAATAAATAAAATTTTATAAAATATACCTGCTGTAATATAATTTAAATTTAAATATAAACATCAATTAATTTGCCTTTTTACTCTGCTTTCTGTATAAATACTAGTGCTTCTATCGAATAGGACTGGACCAAACTTTTGTTAAGTTTGAACTTTGATATTTCTTTAACCAAGTTTGAGTCTGGTCCGGGTTTGGTCGAAGTTTGCAGACTAGTCTGAGTCTGAATATATATATGCGTATTTTTGGGTGTTGAACAAGTTTACTTAGAGCATAAAGTTAGAGCCAATTAGTAAAATTTCAAGAATAATAATATTTTATATAATTTTATTAATAAAATACTGAAATACTATAATTCTCAAAATTTTACTAATTAACTCTAACTTCACGCTCTAAGTAAACTTGTTTAACCCTCAAAAATATATTTATATATTTTTGGACTCAGGCTAGTTTGCAAACTTCGATTCAAACCCTGACCAAACATATAATAGAGTTTGAGTCTGGTCTGAAGTTTGAAATTGGTAAAATTTAAAGGTTGAGTCTGATTTGAAGCCGGACCAGACCCAAACCAGATTTAGGTGCACTAATAAATACTATTTAGGTTTGTTTTTGATTTTAATAAAATGCTAAATTTTAATTTAATTTTGAGCTAATACCAAATAACTTTAGTTGTTTAAATTATAAATTTAATTATTTTTGATTTTTTATAATTTATATTTCATAAAGCTTTTTTATATTTAATAAAGCTTTTCAGTATTGTGATTATTTTTGATTAATTTTAACAAAGTATTAATATTTGAAAAGTTTTTATTTTTTTCATTTTTTTAATAAACATAGTTAATAAGTTTTAAATATTATTTGTTGAGTTAAGCCACAATAATTATTATCAAATTTGGTTTGTTTACAAGAATAATTAAAAGCAAGGTTCTTAGGGTTAGAGCATGTTTTTCTACGCCCTTATGAATTATATTAGTATTATCTTTATATTGAAGAAGAGTTAACTAGTTAAAAAATAATAAAAATATAAGAGAGCATGTACTGGTTAAAATAGATATGAAATTATATTATTATAAAATATTAAGGCTATTATGCATGTTACATTATGTAATGTGGATGGGTTAAAAGTTAAAAATGCACATTGAAATTATTATATAAATTTAACACAATGAAATTATTATATAAATTTAACACAATGAAATTTTTATTATTTAATGTTTTAATTTGATATCATGAGTAATCTCACATAAAAAGAAGTTCGTATAATAAAGTAGTTCTCAAGAGTAAAATTTACTTAGATAACAAACTTTAATTATTATGTAAACATATAGCAATTGTAAATATTAATTATTTTTTGTAAGTTTGACCGGTTAAATAAAAAAAATCAAACAAGTTATCATGGCTTATGCGAAGAATGATTAATTTTTAATTTCCAAACTGAGTCAATTTGGTTAATCCTACCTATTTAAAATCTTTAGATTACAATAACATATATTTTAAAGCTATTCTGATAAAAAAACCAAATAGTAATTATTCCACTTATTTGTGCAGTCCTCTAAAAAGGAAACGGCCAATCAGAGAACATAAATTTTAAATATTCCGAATCAGCCCGACATATAATCCAGCTTGCAACAGGGGTGACCGTCCCAAATATGGGAAATGGTTACACGAATGTTGAATGATTGTCACCTGCTAATCAACCAATC